GAAGAGCAGGGACAGAATTCATTTCAGCTCAGCAGATGACAGCAGTTTCTTAAGAGTTAACTGTGCTATCCCCATCCATCAGGCAGCCAGCGAGGCATCAGGAAGGAATGATGGATGTAAAATTATTACTGGGCTGCCACCCGATATACTTACTGCCATTTGTAACTAATGCTGGAACTGACACACTTTTTTCATTATTAAACATCCACATTAAGTCAACATTGGTCACTGTCATTTCATGTTTGGCACTCTTTTAAGGGGAAGAAGGAGAGGTGGGGGTGGGATGGGGAGGATGGTGAGAGGAGGGGTGGGTGGGAATGGGAGGAAAGACATCCTGAACCCGGTGTTCCGTAAGCATGAGTAATAAATATGCTTCTGCTTACAATGCTGGAATAAATACTTTTACAAATAGTTTTTAGTTACAGCCCAGCAGACAAGTACATGTCAGAGCCTTTTAAAAGGACACACTCCTTTTAAAAGGGAGAACTTGTATCACAGGTTAAGAAACACTTCAGCACAGGATGTACAAGTATTAGGATGCACTCATCTCAGAGCATGCTAGGAGTGTGACTGCGCCCATACACATCTGAAATGCTTGTGTGGCTGTGTATACTTACACACCTGACCCTGCTGCCTGCACCTTTAGCAACAGGCACCAGAATTTTGAAACCTGTACCTGTGTTTACACCAGTGCACACAGACACATGCTCAAATAACCTGCTTGTGTGCCTCCTTACGCCTTTTTTACTGGTATCAGGGCACATACACAAATGCTTGAGAGTCTGACTATAGTCAGAGAATTACTGGCTAGCTCAGTACATGTTTGTGCTGTGTGTCTCTGAAAGAGTGCACTGTGGGCTTGTATGCATGCACACACATGCTGGCTCTTCGTGTTTGTGTACATCTCCTTTGCAGAGGAACAGGCAGTTTTGGGGCTGAACAAACAGGCCAGAGTCCACTTGCCGATGCTGCCCGTTGTGGTGTTTGCACGAGATGACAATGCTACATGTATAAAAGGCAACATTGTTTATGTATAGTACATATCAAGCTATAATTAACTGTACATGACAATTACAAATAAAACTATGCTCCTGGGTTTCCAAGAAACCAGAAAAACATATACACAAACTTCTCATTTATACACAGAAATGTTTCCAAGAAAAGTAATGTAAAAATATGTTTTATTGCATTTGCAATTAAAATAGGTTTTCGTAAAATTCATGTTCATCATGATACTCCTAGTTTTTACTCTAATCCTCTGAAAATCAAATCTCTCAAGATGGTCCAAGTTTATGGCCCATAAAGTGACTCACCCAAATAATCCTAGCCATTTAAAAAAATACTTTCTCATTTATGACTCCTTTTATACAACATCTCTCCAATTCCACAAAATTCCTGTCTGACTACTGCCTTACAGCTGGCAGGTCTGGCCTGTCCACAGGGATCAATCCATCTGGGAACACAAGACAGATAACGGGTCATGTACATGTGTGGAGAAAAGCCCCAAGAGCTTTAACAGAGACTCACAAAGGTGATTCCTAGCCCTAGGCCTGCACAGCTACCCCTGGCAGATGAATCCTTACTGAGAGTCCAACATACATGTTCAGAACTTCACTGGTAAGCTGCCACAGCAATTCATGCAACAAAAACCTCAGCAGGTCTCTTGAGAATCGTTAGGTCTCCATAATTACACTAGCCACTGCAGCAAAGAAGGGAGGAAAATTTGGGCTATCCCCAGATGACTGTTTGTTGCCTATAAAGATCACTCTACAGGAAGGAGAGTCTGTCTTCCATATCTAACACTAGACATAATGTACATTTCCAAGAACCAATATGCCTACAGACACATAGTTACATTATACTAACCCTCTTTCAATTCCACCCCCCCATCAAAATCTCCTTGCCAGGAAGCACGCAGCGAGCAAACAAAATGTCCCAAAAGTTCAGGAGGCTGCCTCTAAGCTCCCTGACAGGACCCTGAGCTTCTGAAGGGAAACCCTCACTGGTAACACTGCAGCACTCTATTTCTCACTACATACCTTCACAACTATCTCTTTTACTTTTTCTTGAGAACAGGGAAAACCAGAGTAAAATTTAATTCAAAATGGCAACACTTCCTCTCAAATCTTGCTCTTAGTAACAGAGAAAACTTTAAATTTCTACATCAAGCAGACAGATATTTTAGAGAAGTTGAGGTGTTTGTCTGGATCTGAACTTCACAGCTGGCTAGACAGCTTAGAGCATATATGGGAAAGGAGAACAAGTACCTAAACGTCACAGCTTACAGCTTTTCCTTTGTTGGGTCAAATGAAAGAGACAGCTCAGGAGATCCTAAAAGTTAAAAACTGCAACTTCTTAACTAGTACTTAGTAGCTTAAGTGGTCACCCCAGCATCTCAAATCCCATTATAGTCTAGGAGAAATCAGACTTGATTCTGTCCTTTCCTGTCTCCACAAATAAAATAAAATAAAATAAAATAAAATAAATCAGTGCACCACAATAAAGTTTTTGGCATTTATTGTATCAAAAATGACAAACCCTACAGTTGCTTTAGAAAAATTTTCAACTAGGCAAACAATTTTGTTTTCCTGCTACCTTGTAAAAGAACTCCTCTCTGCCCTCCATGAGCCTACTAGGAGGCGTGAATTAGAGAGGAAAATAAACTTCAACTGGGGTTGAGAGTGAGAAGTGAAAACAGAAGGGGTAAGGAGAATCCCAACAATAGGAAAGTAACAGAATAAAGTGAATGCAGATGGTTCCACTCCTGTTACTTAATCAAAAGGCTGTGCAGAGTCACTAGAGCCAGCATAAAGTCATGTGTTAGAACAACAGCTGATCTGTATTAAAGAAGATTAACTCGCAATGCCATGGTGGAGGGCCTGGGATTATTTTATGTACTGCCACTGCCGAACAAGCCGTCATCACAATTACTGCCCTCCGATGTGAATGACTGATCTGTAACCACAGCTAAACAGCATGCTGCTTAGGGGCCTGGGTGCTTCATGAAGATGAATTTCCATACCATCAAAGTGCTTTTAATGGGCTTCCTGATCCAACCACAAGGCCTGCTTTGCAAGTATATAGAACTCAGGATGAAGGCTTCCTGTCCAAAAGGATTTGGTCGGTTGTCACTTGACAATTCCCAGCCAGCACAAGGGAGGAGAGGGGGGAGACAGGTAGAGTTGTCTCTGCTTTGGAGGATTAAAAAAAAAAAAGAGGAAAAAAGAAAGGGTACAGATGCTTTCTGAATGCAACCAACTGCTGTATCCACAGCTGAATTCAATGCGCTTAACAAATAATGGCAATTTAGCTATGCTTGCAAGGAATAGCTTGAGTCACTTTGCATTAGCATCTGGCTGAGTGTTAAAGTCATTTCGACATGGGGAGCAGAGAAAAGAAATTTCTGCTCCGAGCATCCTTTCAAGAATGCTTAAATATTTGAATATAAATTCCTTTGTGCTTGTGATCACTTCTTCTTATATCTGACACTCTGCTTTTCCCTCTTCCCTTCTGGTACACTTCTATGTGAAATGCCATAAATATGCTCCATCCCTCTCTTTCTTTCTCTCTCCCCATACCAGTGCTCTTATTCTTCTAAGAGAGACTGTATGTACTGCCTGATACCTATTATAGTGACCCTTTTTTCCTTTCCCTTCCTGTCAAGAAAGTGCATGAAATTGGAGTAATCTCTATATCACTTACACCAAGGATAGGCTGATGAAAAAAGTACAGTAGTGAGAGACTCACATGCACATTTAACATTCATTATTACCCAGACTGCTGGCTTCTCACAGCTTATTGATCAAACTCCATCTAAAACCAGGGAAAATGGAAAGCTATCCAAATTAGCAATCTGCTCATTCTGGACAATATTGTTTGACTCACAATCTTCCTAGGGTAACTGCCTTTCGAGTTTCTGCTAAATAGCTGATCACACACGGCCTTACAGTGAAAAGCCACTAGAAGCAGTTTCAATAAAATTCCGTTTACACCAAATGCAACAACGGTCATCGTTGTTGTACAGCACTTGAAAGGCTGTATCTCCTCAGAAATTATTGCAGGGGAAGAGAGGAACTGAGGAAAAAGTCTTGCTAAGCATATGATGTTGAGACGCACACAAGAGTTTGGATGTGTATCTTAGGTGGCAGTATTACAAGGATAGCTCACTATAAACGTGGCAGCAAGGTCGCATGTGCAGATCTGTTTATCCTCCATAAGCCAGGACAATGCATGGGAAGACCTCAGGTATTTCCAGAGAAAAGCAGCAAATCACAAGCTCTTTGACATATGCAATGGTTACAGTACATACAAATTTTACTTGAGAATATTCACTTTGTTGATATTCTATTACAGCACAGCTTCACAGGCCAGTTCAAAACCAGGACGTGCTAAGGCCCATACATTCTGCTGCCTCTAAGTTTCACTGCAAATATTTAGTGCAGTTTGTGTTGTCAATTCTTCATTTTTTCAATTTTGTTAAGTCATCTAACGTGACATGACAGTGCTACACAGCAATGGTCACAAAATATCATATATGACAACCTCACAAGGCTAAATACCCAGAAGCTGAGCCTGAGTATCAGCAAAGCTTATGTTCCTAAAGAAGCTTGAATATTTTCAAATCCAGCTCATCTCACAAACACATGTAAGCATTTCCATAAAGCAAGATCTCCACTTCAACCCAGAGACTTCCAAGATCACCTTCTCATAATACACAATGACAGGCTGGAACAGAGAATCAGTGGCCTCCAAAGTTTTCATGAGGGCTTTAACCATCTCTGCCTCCTCAAGTCTCCCTCAGGGGTCTCATGCCGTTTTTTGGTTGTGGTTTTCATTTTACTTTTCACTTTTTTTGAAATAACCAACTATTATTAAAAATGGGGAAAAAGAAAATAGAGCAAGGAAAAGGAGGGGAAAAAAAAGGACGAAGAACCTATGTATCTGTAGGGAGAGCCAAATGCAATCTCGGATCCTTTGCAAAGGGAGTCTCAGAAACTCACCTTCTCTGTCCTGCAGTTATTGAGACCCAGGCTATTCACAACGGCCACCTTCCCATCCAGCACCTGTTGTTCCCTCCGCAGTTGCTCCTTCATCTGTCGGGCCTCCTGGATTGCCTTGGTAACAGCATCGTGGTCATTTAAATAACCTGACGACGTGATAGAAGAAAGGATATCTTAAAAAAAGAAAGTTACAAGAAAACACTTTAGCTTTCATCTGTGAAATGCACCGTTTATCATTATTCATAGAATCATAGAGTGATTAAAGAGAAAGAGTTAAAAGGTAATGCCCAGAAACCCATCCATGCTTTGTAATTCTGTTACTGTTATGATGGAGCCACCTGGATAGAAACCGTGAGAAACCTCAGTGCCAAAATCATCGTCCTGATATTTGATCCCATTAATTTCAATATTTCCCTGATGCTGCAGAGGTTAGCCTTGTGGTTTGCATGCAGCAGGATGTAACCCGGTAAGAGTTAGGGGAAGCTTTGATCATGCCAGCAATCCCAAACTCTTAAAAATAGATCATTTCATTCTTCCCCTTCTTAAAACTTGTGAATACATTAAAATAAACCACAGGTGGCGGTGGTTTGCTATAGATATGAAATGCATAATGGCTGGGAAGAGAAACCTCATCCACTGAATGCTCCCCACCACCACCTGTCATTCAGAAATGTATAAGAAACCACAGCTACATGGACCTACGTTCCCACTCCTATTCATGCTGCTAATAGTAGGTCAAATGTCCACTGTTTTGCTGCAAATTCACAGCCTAGGGCTTAGCCTTAGTAGTCACTGAATTACATCCTTTTAAAATGTTACAAGCATCACCAGCACAGCTAATACTATTTAATTTTAAATGTGACACTTTGTCATTTTTTTCTTTTAGCGTACTGTAGATTATACTTATTATGATCTGCATATGATTTGCAGGATAGAATACTGATGGGAGACTCCAAGCCCCAGTCTATTTTTCAAACATTAAAGGAGAGGCTAATATCTATCAATCTCCCTCCCCCTCTCCACATCCCCACATGCGCACGCACGCACACGGTTCTTTCTGTCTTTTAACTAGGGCATAAAAACGGCATAAAATGAATCTGTAATATGAAATTGCCCAGAAAAGGGACTTCTGTTTGTGACATGAGGCTAAATCTAACCAGATCCATTGGTGAATTGTGACAGATGGAGGGACTGTGAGACAGAAGGCAGGCACTAATCACACACAAAATGACCGGCTTGCCTCAACATGTTCCATGGATTCCAGCAAACTTTACACCCTAATCCATTTTTAGAACAAAAAACATCTGGGCCATAAATCCTCTAATCTGCCAAAACACGCTATTAAATCCCATGATTTGTTGAAAAACACTAAGATTAAAGAAAGGAAATATAAAATGGCTAACTGCCGTGTTAGGAAAGTGTTATTAATACTCTTTCTTTGTCTCAATTATGAATGTTCTGTTCCTAAAGAGCCTTGTCTAATCATGTCAGATTACACATCCTTGTTGTATTGCTAGACTCTTCTATCTGATCCACTGATTGCCAAAAAACGTGGGACATTGTCTTGCTGCTTAAAACATTTCAGGGGAAGAAGCTGATGTCAGATTAGTTCAGTGCTGCACTGCTGTGAGGATTTTAGTTTGGTTTGGGTTTTTACTGTTGTTTTTTCAGACTCCAGACAGAATGGGACTAGTACTCCTGTCTTCCTTGGTGTGCAAAAACTAAGAAGAAAAGTTTCTGTGCAGTTTTGACTGTTTAATTACACTAACAGTTAGCTTTTGGCTAAATACCCAGGAACCCTGGGAGTTTTATATGAAATAACTTGATCCACATTTCTTTTAGCAAATGACCCAGTAATTCCCAGCCAATGGAACTGCAGTAATTCCAACTTTCCCAGCATAAGGAAAGTTATAACCTGCACCAGCACAGTGCTACGAGCTGATTTTTTTTTAACCTTCATTTTATCAACTTGCTTGGTTTCTTCCCCACTTTGCATCTGTTACTGATCAAGCTTGCATGTAGTCAGAATAAATTAAAAAGGAAGCAATCAAGCAAACAAACAAACAAACAAACAGACAGTAGTATTACTGGTGGTTGTGCTCTTGATTAGGCTAGGTATAATACTTTCAATATAGCCGAATTTGCCGAGGAACTGGAATTCACGCCCTTCTTCAGACTATTTGGCTTTTCCTGAATACTGCTATCTTTGAGACACTTTGGCACATGACAGTGAATAAAAGCAAGCACTCCTTATGTTTTTCAGTAGCTGCCAAGATGCTGGTGTGCAGGGAAATGATTAATATAGAAGCGAGTAGAATGTAAATTATTGTTGTTTAGGGTAGGTGGTGAATTATTGACAGAGAGAGGAACTGCATTACATAAAATGCACATAGTTACAAGGATTGCCAAACTAGCACAGAGATGTTGCAGATAATGGCAAAGGGCAGAGAGAAGTTGTTTCTGTTTTTAGCACACGGACATATGCCTGTTCCCAAAAAGAAATGCTTGGATTTAAAGTCATACATGAAGCCATGACATTTGTGACTGCTCAGTCTGTAACATGATTTATACGCTATAAGGATAGCTCTAGAAAAGGACTACATATCTGTATGCTCAAATGCAGTTATACTGTTAATCACAGGAGGTTATAAGTTTATGTCCTCCAAAGACAACTGAACAATACATGAACATTTCTCCACGCAATGGGAACCAAGCAGCCCAAAGAACTGCTTTCAGAGAATGGTTTTAATTTGAAGTTAGTGGCGGTGAAAAGTGACAGCTCAACTGCATCCCAGCAAGGTGGGCTGGGCAGATCTAGGACAGACAACTTATGCCTTGCATTGAAAGCTCAAATCATTGAAATGGTGGAAGTAAGTGCCTGGCAAATGATCACATGTTTCCCAGTGACTTTCTCTCAAGATAAAGTGATCCAGTGTCTTTACCATTTTCAGGAACCTTACTACCTTTGCAAAAATGCTATCAAAATTTTTTGTGGCATAGCTCCTACTGGAGGGACTTGAAATTTCATTCTTGCTCTTTTAAGATCACCCAATGGTTTCAACATGGTAATGAGTTTTACTTGCTGTAACTTTGGTTGAATCTGACCTAACAGTTAACAGGAAAAGACACTGTAGAGTGTTCACAAGCCTTTCATTCTTCTAGTCCTCCATTAAAGGACAAACCTTAGAAGCAGGCTATGCCTGTCCAGCTCCTCCATCAGTTAAAGACTACTTATCTGATATATACAGTATGCACTGTGATACTGCTCAGCAACCTCAAAAAGTCACTTTCTGTATTTGTAGCTGAGAGATACAGCAGTGAACTCTATGTCATTAACAATAACTTAAGTATGTTATCTTTTGCTCCACAGTTTTCCATGGTTTATTAATGGTATAACACATTAATGATTCTTACAACAGTGACCTTTAAAGCTCTGTTCATCCTCACAGCTTTTATCCAATTACATTATCAGTCATTACAGGTACAGCATTTCAAAATCTGCATTCTGTTAAAAGAAGTAAATTGCAGGGGTCTCAAACCTATGAAAAAGATCAGGTGTGTAGGGAAAGAAGATTTGAGAGCAGAGAACAAGAGATGTCCTGCCACGGAGATGCAGGTCAGATGCTTAACTCCACATCTAAATGTGATGTTCACTCTATTAAGGAAAAAAATGTAATTTGAAAAAATTGAAACTCAGTGCATTGTACATGGAGAGCAACAGGGCCAAGCAAATTAAAGATGAACTACATTATTACCTATTGCAGTCAAAGAGTGTAGGGCTAATAACAACACATTCATTGACAACTAACAATGAGATATTTACAAAATATTTATATAATTCTAAGATGTAATACCAAATAAAGTTATTTTCTGTTCTAAAAAGCATAGAAGTCTATTCTCTGTCTGATATACGTAACTCTCGTCAACATTATCAATAATCATGTATGCACAGTGGGAGGGTAATACAGTGACAGCTAGATCTGTTTTATCATTGGACATAACTATGGGTCTTCCTGGTGTCTATGCAGGTAGAGTATGGACTACAATGAGCTTGCGGGAATCCCAGAGACACAGTAAGATTTTACTACATAGCACTGAGATATCAAATAAACAGCTTCTGATAGAATTTGACTTATGGCTTCTTTTACTTTTTGTGCCATCCCTAGAACTGGCTAGCAGGAGATGCTTTAGGAGTAGTAAGACATACAGTAGCCAAGGAGCAACTATCTACCTCACTTAATTCCCTAGACAGAGCTTGATTTAAATCCTGAAATACTAATTCAGGTTATATTCAATTATTTCATGAAATAAAATGTTTCAGTTACAAGGATGAAGAATGGAGTGTGCACACATTCTACTCATACGCACAAAGAACAGTGCCTTTAACATCAGCCTTGTAAAATCACCACTAAGACTGTTATTACCTAGATGGTATTTCGGCAAAGAGGTACTTTTGGCAGGAGGAAGAATTAACACTACTTTCTGGAGGAATGTTAAAAACAGCCAGTCAAGACTCTTTGCAAGATACAACATCAAACTTGCTTTTTTGAATAAACCTGGTGATTATTTTGCATACTAGATCAAGGTAAAATAATGGTCCATGTAGCATTTTATCGGACTAAGGATTAAACCTGTAATTTTGCGAAGATGTATTTACATATGTAGACTTTTAACTTAAAGGAAATTTTTTTAAGGTTTATCCATCACTTTTAGATGACATTGTACAATATCACAGGACTTTAAAGCCCGCCATTAGACAGGTCACTCTCTTTAATGTATGCCATTAAACAAACAGCACTTATTACCTTTTATTGATAAAGCAGTATCTGAAGTAACACAGGTCTTTGTTTTCCAAGTCTGTAAAAGTCAAGATACTCCTCCTGAAATGGTAAGTCTGTGCAAGTTTCTTCACTGGCATCAATTAATGTAGTATTATGGTCACCCCATGACAATTTGTAGTCTGCTGTCTGGCAGTGACTAATAAATGTCCACTTTCCTTTAACACCTATTAATCGTTATGAGGAGGGATAAATGAGCTTACCTATTGTGTTAGCTCTGGACGAAGGACTAGCTAATGTTGCTGGCACTGAGGACTTTAGTGAACTGGCCCCACTGTTTATTCTCAGAGTTGGAATATGAGGAGAGGTGGGTGATGTGGGAGACTTGCCATCAGATGTCTTGGGTTTGGCTGAAAGGTTCAGAGGCTGGGCCACTTCATCCTATGACAAGCAGAAGAGAAAAGAATGTTATTAAAAAACTGCTGTTGGCACAACACCAGCTAAGAGAAGACAGTTGTTTTCAGCTCATATAAACTTCTAAACCTGAAAGGTTGTATGATATATACTAAGATGAAACGTGGTATCATCCTGTCATTCCAGTTTGGAACTGAACTGACTGATAAACTGGAAAATGAGCATGACATGATCAGAGAATGTCCTCCATTTGCACTTTGTAAGTAGGAATTGTTTCTGAAGAAATTATTCACATCAACAAGATATACACTTCTATGATGACAACGAAGAGCAATTTTACAATTAGATTTTTTTGTTGTTCTATTTTAAACTTGATATGGATAAATTAAATAAGAACTGAAAAGAATTTCCACTTAAAATTCAACCACCACCACCCCAACTGGGCAAATATGTTTGAGTGAAGGAGTTTTAGTTGGGTTTTTTGTTGGTCTTTGGTTTTTCCTTTTTATTTTTTTAAATATTTGTGCTTTCCTCTGAACTACCCAGGCTTAGAATCGCAAGCATAAAAATATAAGACATTAATACTTCACTTCCCCCACAACAAGAGAGCAGGAAGAACCTGTCCTTACTTTCCACAAAATTTGAAACAATAACTTGGATAATTCTGCATAAGTCCCGAGATTTTTTTATCTTCTGTGGAGATGGACTTCAAGATTTCAGTAATTATTATTATGCAAAAATAGAGAAATTGGGTGACATTTTTGCAGGGTAAGTGGAATTATTCCTAAACTTGGCTTGATTACACAGAGTAACAGACAGTGCTATAAAACACATTAAAATTCTAAGTCATACATTTTTGTGGAGACAAAATAAAATATAGTAAAGGAAAAAAAAAAAAAAAAAACAAACCAAGGAAGGGAGATAAAACTTTTCAACAAGGGGGATATTTTAGAAGTGATTTTAACTGACTTTTAAATAACCAGAACTAATAGATATGGTTATTAGATCCAACCATCACATATTAGCTTAGATCTCCTCTGACACTGTGACTTATGAAAGCCAGCCTTTATCTACAGGAAGGGTCACATCACACAATTGGGTTTTGGCTCTAGGCACTGAAGAAGCTAGTTCTGATCTCCCTAAGTTGTAAGTACATTCAGTTTTACAGAATTATTCCTGACCTACAACAGTGCAAAGCTGACTGGAATGAGACTCATAATGTTTGAGTGTTTTAGTGTTACCATTAAGGTATCTGTAACTACTATCATATAATATGGATTCTTTTCCACAGAGGCTGGTGTGCTGCAGTAAAGAAGGAATTTTATAGTTGCCTATTGCTTGTGGAAGTACGATGTAGATGTACCTCTCCAAACATAGGACAATTCTGCAAAGCACTGTCATATAACTTTTCCATTACCTTAAAGAAACAAGCTCTGAGCAAAGCACTTTTGTTATATTTGATTATTTCTATATTTTTGCAATAGTCATAGTTAAAAATAAAGCTTAGCAGACAAACCTATCAGGAACATCATGAACAAAGCTGTCATCCTTAAAGTGGTATTTAAGCCATCCTAGATGCAACTTGTGCATAAAATAAAGGGGAAGAAAATCAATGCAGAAAATTCCTTAGAGGCCTATATTCTGTATTCTCAGAAGCAACTTAGGCACCTAGAAGGCAGAGTTCTGTTGATCTTCTAGGAGACTTAAGCCTCAGGGTTAAAAATGTCACCCAGTTCAACCAGCATTTGACATTTTAAGAAGTTAGTTGTTACTTTACAGAAATACAAATCCATCTGTATTAGGATAAACCAGATTAACCTACTAGCCAAATGGAAAAGGACTTGCTCCGCTGTTCCACTGATTCCAATTTAAAAAATCCCAACATCCTACAACAGTGCAAAACCAGAACTGCGATAGTTGCATAAAAGCGTAATACAAACTAGCCAACAAACCAACCAAACACAGCGACCCTGTGCCAGACAAGGATCCCTGAAGAGCAAAGTCATCTACTTGGAAGACAGTATTAGAAGCAATGCAAACCTTCCCACAGACTTGTTTTGATTCAATCCAAGAGGGGCTAGTTTCCATGTGTATTTAATTCTTGACCTCTGTTGTAAATCTCAACAAAAGGGGCTGATTAGTTTCAGATATGGTAGTAAAAGCTACAGCGTGCTCTCTGGCCACTGGAAATATGACTGAGAGCAGCACTTCAGTTCATATGGAGCAGTAACCAGTCCCTGATGGGAACTGATGCAAAGTCAGCTTGGATTCCAACCTGCATCCCTGTGCTGAAAGTTTCTTTTTAGTCTCATTCTTTTGACTCAATCATTCAGCTATCCCATCTCTATAAAGTTATTTTCTTCCCTCCTCTTGCTTCTTTTCCCTTTCCTCAGTTCTTCTGTTCCCTTTTTTTAGCCTGGTGTGAAGTCAAGGTCTTGTGCAAGTCCACTATAGAACAGTGGCTTTGGTCTCATTTAATGCAAGTTAGAAATGGGACTGGTGTATTTTTCCATTGTGGGTATCCAGCAATGAAGCTGTCTGCGCTGTAACTATTCTTTGTAGTAAGAATGGTCTTCTTCATTCAAGTCAGCACAGCCTCCTCTGAAGTCAAGAAGCATAAGGCCTTGTGGAAATAACAGAAGTTGACAGTTCCAGAGCTGATAAATGTCATTCAAAATTGCCCCTTCATTCACTTTCATTGTGTGTTCAGGCTAATGGTAAATTAATTGGAGGTCACAGAAGCTTGGTTCTCATAAAGGAGGACAAGTAAACTATTATATGTATTTACAAAATGATATTACTTCACTGCTTGGTCTTCATAACATTTTTACTTCTGTTACTTCAAAGAGCAGTCTCAAATCCTCACTGGAAGTCAAATGCATTAATAATTCAGTCATAGAGTTTAGAAATCCTACACTGGATCATGAGTTGACAATAATTTAAGTCATTTCCTTTACCACAGTGGAAATACCCTGATTTATTCCACGGAGGTCTAAAAAATACCTGGGAGATGGGTAATAATATACAATTGTCTTAAGTGTGAAGATGACTGTTAGGATCTTCACTCCTATACTCAGTGAGACATTTTACTCTTTTTCCTGTCTGCAGACATAAATTCAAAATTCTTCGCTCTTCCAGTTTGTAACAAGAACTGTACTGTCTTCATTACGATTTGAGCCTGTGTAACCATGAGAAGAATTAGGTGTTGGCATACCTTTATTTTTAACTATAAAATCTTCCAGCTAGCATTTTGCCACATTATAGATTAGCAGGTTTCACTCTCAGTTATATCAAGGCTGTGCAAAAGTGCAGCATGACAGCTAGGGCAAATAACTACTAAAAAGAAAAAAAATAGATGTAGCATGTTCACTCCAGGTAGATGGCAGCCAGGAGACTCAATTTTATACAGTGGGATCACAGAATCTAACACTATTCCCTGCACTTAGTTTTTATTAGAGCAAGCTCAGCAGTGGTTGGTCCCTGCCTTATTTTTGACACTCAGTTATTCTAAGATGCCCTTGATAAGGTGTTTTTTTTTCAAGCCAGTATTTTTTAGAGTTAAACAAAGTCAAACATTTATTTATATATGAGCCAAAACGATTAATGCTTAGACCAGAGGACGTTAAGTCCAAAAGGCTTGTAATAATATAAACACAGATGTGATGAAAGTAAAATATGATCTTGATTAAAGGTTATGAAATGTTTCCTTTAAAGTAGCGCATTTGTCTAACAAAACAAAACACACACACACAAAAATGTAGAGAATAAAGCATAAGCGAAAACACATGACAGAGGGCTAATAAAATGAAGTACCCACAGCAAGAGCAAAGCATTGGTAAAGAAATTCCCATCCCCTGTATCACAGCAGTGTCAGAACAGTCACTATTTTAGGGAGAGCTGGTGGTTTGCTTCCCAGGATTGGAAGACTGCCATTAACCAGAACGTTGGAGCTCAGGGAACATTAAACCCTTGATTTTCTCTAGATCTTTTTCCCAGCTGATCTCTAGACATAAGAGGAAAGAAAGAAGAACCCTTTATTTACACCAGAATTTGGGGCCTAAATAAAATATTCAAGAGCTGTATTTTGTAGAATCACTCAACGTGGATTGAGCTTTCGTATTTAAGCATCAGACACTGGAAATCTTCAAATATAAGTGCCCGACAACATTTAAACAGAAATACTGCTGTTAAGTTGACTATGCATCATGCTGATTTTATAAGGTTTGTATGGTCCTTTGAAAAGGTAAAATGCTAGGTAAACACAAAGTGCTTATTAATAAAAATGAAAGAGAAAAGAAAAGGATTTGTTCACAGTCATACAGTTATGTAGTGGCAGAGTTTCAGACAGATCCAGGAATTCTGACTCACAATCAGCAATGTTGCAAATAGTTCAGTCAAATGGTGTCTTTTCTAATCTTTCAATCATGCTGTCTCTATTTACTTCCTCCTAAGATAAAAGGTTAATTTATCTCTATGGAGAATGGATATAGAAAATCTGGTTTTGAGAATCTCTCTAAACCGTTTATTAAAAATGGCACTATTTCAACACTGAAGGCCGAATAAAGGACTGATAGCCCAGATGAATGAACGAGTCTCAGAGAAAGAAAAAAGGGGGGGTGGTGGGGAAGAGCCCAGATGATTCATCTGGATTTCATAATATCATTTTCTTTCACATATTTTAAAGATTAGTCTACTATTAAGACACAGTTACTGAATTATTGTACTGTCATTAAAATCCAAGTGCTGTATCCCACTGTGGCACACACTGTAGGTCCATGTTGCACAGTCTATTACAAATCATGAACTACTCGGTGTATCATCTGACTGGCAATACAAATGTGCTTAAATGACCTGGCATGAGCACAGCCTAGCACGCTCTACTAAAGAGGCTTTTCATGACCTCTGGGAACATGTTCGCCACATCTTGCTGCCTATTTAGATGACCTTGACAGTACAAATTACAGCCAAATGAGTTAGAAATAAGAAGCCAGAGAGGGGGTTTCTAAAAGAATGTCTCTGCCACCTCA